TGGAATCAAACGAGAGCAGTAACACACAAAATTCCGATCTGAGGAGGTATGCAATTTTGTGTTCATGTTAGCAAACGGCTGCATTTTGATGTAAAAGTTAAGAACACCAGTGCCTACTAAACTTCCAACCGACACAGTGTAAACAGCCTTTTCATAAGTCCCAAGCCGTTTCCTTGAATTTGCACAGCACAGTTCAGCTGTACGGTATCGAATCATTTCATGCAAAGTAAATATGATCACGTGAAGTTCGTTAAGTCGATCATGGTCTGGATCAGAAGGGTAGTTCTGAAGTCAGGAAGTTTCTTGGTGACTGCGTTACATGTTAGGTCATGTTACCAACGTGAACGGAAGTCGTGATCTTCAAAGTCAAGTAAACAGTTCGTCCCTACGTACTGAACTTGGTTACGTTTTGTCGTTATCTAAACTGTTTTATACGGGGAATTGTTAGCCATAATTGTTTGTTAAAAGTAATTTATTGGTAATGTGTCTGCTCAAGTTACGCTAGGCTCGATTTCCGCCGCTCTCTCGGGTCCGCGTGACAGCGGCTGGTAATCGAGCCTAAAGTTACGCTCGTTCTTTCACTCTCGACAGAGAAAATGAACAACACATTTCGGAAAAAAGGAAGAAAGCAGATTTGTTTAAGCACTATAAGAAAAAACTGGCAGAAAAAGATGGGAGGTAAATAAAGGACATGAGTATACACCATTGGTCTATCTTCTTTTAACAAGTTCGTCGCAATTAACTTTTCAAAAACATTCCTCTGACATGTTTAGAAAATTCAACATGTTGAAGCAAATGATCAATTCTTATCATTATTTTTCGTAGGATTATGCAGCTGGAAAGCGAGCTGAAAGGAAAAACACTGGAATTAGAGAAGTAAGTTTAAAAGCGTTTGTAATCAAGATGGAAAATAAGTGTGTAAATATTACTCATTGTAAAACTGCGAGTCTCACAAAGACTACAAACTTTCAAATCCACGACCCTTCTAACCATAACCTGACTCGATATTGACCGCTGTCTAGGCTTTGCTAACTTGAATAGTAAACTACACCAAACTTGCAGTTACGTTTGTCGTGAAGAAGGCTATAAAAGGCTTGTTTCTTCTAAAA